AGAGCAAGTTGGTGGTGGATTGGGCTCCAAAATCTGATCAAAAATCGACCAAAAACACAGCAGAAATCGATAGAAAGAAGTTGTCCAGATTTTCCCAAAAAAAAAACCGCACTTGTAATCGACTTTTCCTGCCAAACCAGTGGTCATTTGAAAAAACCAAGACCACCAAAGTGTTCAGTAGGTCGAGGAGATGCTGGGTGGTCGGTGCGTGTGGCAGCGCGTGATGCCCAAGCGCAGAGGAGTGTGTCGGCGCGTGGGGCATTTTCAGGCGTCGATTCCTTCAGGCAGTTTGTTTACTTTGATTTTCTGAACATACAAATATTATTGGGTTAGTGTTTCAGGTTACGCAGGAAAAAAAATTGGACGATTTTGCCCATGCATTAGTAATTCAATTGTCGCTCAGTTGATTGTCGCAGTTGCTAGAGACTTTAGGACGAATAGTGGTGGCCCTAAAGTGATAAGTTTGCTTCTCTCGTAATTTACGGACTCAAATAGGTCCGCTCTATTAAATTGGCTTATCCCATTTAAATTTCAGCTTTAGCATGTCATCGTGTGGGGTGACATTAGGATTGAGGTTATTGTGAAGGGGTAACCTTGCTTGTGTTAGAAACTTATGAATTATTTGCCGTATTTGAAGTGTTGAATTTTGATTGCAAGTTGGTAATTGCTTTTGTGTTGTAACTACTGTTTAGTATCTTTGTGAGATTACATTGCTTGGAAACTTGAATTTTGTTGACATACCTTCGTGTTGCATTGATTATTTCGTTAGAACACCTTGACTTGACATGTTTGAACATTCCCTTGATCTGAGATCTTGAGTATCACGAAATTCTGGGAATCTAAAACGGTGTATATTGTTGCCTTAAGATTACTCTGACCTATTCGTGCATTTTTGGTTGTTCTGTTTTTAAAAATATCTTCACATTTCGAAATTGAAATTTTCAATGGGAAAGGAGATTTCTCAATTTGGCAACAAAAGATGAAGGTGATTTTGGTTCAACAAAAAGTTTCAAAGGCCATAGAAGCACAAAAAGAAGAATATGATGAACTTGTATACACTTCAATTATTTTATACTTGTCGACACTGTTTTGAGAAAAGTAGGAAAACTTNTCAAATATTTTACACTTGTCTGACACTGATTTGAGAAAAGTAGGAAAACTTGATTCTACCAAAGAACTTTGAAAATAGTTTGAAGATTTATATTTGCTTAAGTCTACTCCAAATAAGTTGTACTTGGTTGAAAGATTTTTCGGTTTTAAAATGGACCCTTCAAAGAATTTTGATGACAATTGGATGTTTTTAACAAGTTGGTTTCAAGATATCGTTAAATGTGACGAGAAGGTGTTTGAAACCTATAAAGCCATTATTTTGCTTAATTCTATGCCTGATTCATATAGAGAGGTTAAGAATGCAATTAAGTATGGTAGGGACACTTTAACATCTGAGATTGTCATAGATTCCCTTGGGAGTAAGAAAATGGAGATTAAGGCTGAAAAAGA